TTTTCTCTTTTTTTGGGGGGATAATCTTCATTATTTTATTATTCCAACTAAATATTTTTCATTTGTGCATTGCAAATGCTTATAAGCTGCAAACATTTTGTTAGAATAAAAAATAATGTGAAATTTTTCATTCTGTAAGCCTAGTTTTGCAAATCTCACTTTTTAGTAATTTAAAGTTATTAAATAAATTTTACTCTAAAAAATTAAAATCTAGATATCTTGTACCACATATTTTCCAAATAGCATGCTAATTATGATGCAGTGTTTATTAGAACTCATTCTAATAAGCTAGTCAAAGAAATTGATTTTGAGCTATATATGTAAAATTTAAAGTGCAGAAGTATGGAAGGAATGAATGATGGAAAACATGTTTTAAATAATTAAGGGTAATAAGAAAGACCAGTTATTTTCACTGTTATTTATCAGTTTTTAATTAGCAGGAAATGAGTTACATCCTTCTGCAATATATTCAAACTAGTAATAAAAGTATTTTTATCTCTAGGTGTGTCATGAAAGCTCAGTGCTATGTAGGCATGCCATGTTATATGGAAATCATGTCTTGTAAATTACATGAGTAATACTTTTGCATTCAATTTTAGTCAGAAATCAGCAGTCATGTCTCATAAAATTCAAAAAACTTTGTGTTTAAAATCTTGTTGCTACACTCATCTTATAAAATTCTGTAACTTATATTGTAGATGATTACAACAAAATATCATATTCAGTTGAAAGTTTAGTTCATTTCATATTAATTTTTTGGGGGGGATTTAATTGAATTATGCACTTTATCCTCCATAGAAATTAAAATGATTTTGAAATTTATATACAGTGTCTCACAGAAGTGTGTGTACACTTTAAGAATTTGCAGAAAAAGCACTGTAACCTGGAATTGAATTCAAATATAAAGCATAATATTTTTTCATATCTCCATGTGATTTTGAATAAAACCAAAATTTTTAATTTTGAATATCAATTTATGTACTTTTTCTAAAATCCCAAATGAAAGGAATCGTACACTGAAACATTTTTGTAAAATTTCATAAATAAAATTATCGTCTTTTTTTAATTTAGCATTTTGGTGACATTTAAAGAATTGTTTGGCATTACTTTTTATTTGCTTACTTTGTTATATTTTATTTAATGTTTAAAAATGTCTTGTAGTCACAAGGAATCAACAAACAGCATTTGAAAATTGATCGTTTTGTTCTAATAAGAATGGAAATTTGATTCGGGATAACGCAAAATTAGTAAATTTATCCCATTCTACGGTGCAGTATGTGATAAGGGCTCTAACAAGAAAGTTAGATCCAAAATAAAGTAAGAAGAGGTTGTTCAGCAAAGAGGATTCAACGTGACTTAACATGATCAAAGATTTATAGTTGGAAAACTCTTTGAAAAATCCATGTTTGAGTAGTGTAAATATTTCTACGGAATTTACTGAAAATTTTTCTACTTAAATTTCGCTTAAAATTGTTTGACGAGTGCTCAGATCAGCTGGATAATAGCACGCTTTACTTGAAGAAAATTTTTTGGAAGTGCAAAAAATAGAAAGCTTAGACTTTTCTTCTCAAAGTCAGTGATAAATAAGCCCGAAGTGTATTGTAATCATGCCTTATTTGCAGATGAAAGGAAATTTAACATGTTTGGTTCTGATGGGCATATAATTGCATAGAGGGGGGGGGAAATGAGGATCTTAATCCCAAGACGTTTGTAACAAACAGTAAAGCATGGTGGCGGAAGTGTTGTGTGAGGGTGCATGTCAGCATCAGGATTAAATAATTTAGTATTTATTGATAGCACAATGAACCATGCTCTTTATTTAAATATTTTAAGAGATAATTTAAAAGTATCTGCCCAAAATTTGGATACTGGAAACAACTTCATTTTTTATCAGGGTAATGACTAAGCACATGGCTCTCAATGTTCGCCTTTTGGGTGTGTATAATTGTCCACAAGTTTTGAAAACACCATCTTTGTAACTAAATTTAAACCTAACAGAACACATTTGGAGAGATTTAGAGGTTAGAGTAAGTACGAAGACACAACATTAAAACAAAAATTGAACTAAAAACAGTAATGAGTGAAGAATGGAGGAACATTGATGCAGATATTACATAAAAACGGGTGAACTCTATGCCCAGAGGTTTTAAAGCTGTCATAAATGCTGCAGGATATACTACAAAATGCTAACTGACAGAAATACTACAATATTTACTCATATGTGCAGATTTCTTTTAAGCATATGAAGACTCGAGATAACTTTTGTTACTATTTTATGAATGATTTTCCTTAAAAGAAATTTTTTAATGTGTTCATAAAATAATGAATGTAGTTTTACTAAGAGAAATTTATAGATATTATTAGCCCTGAAGGACTATTAATTTCAAAACTGCATTTTGCATCACATCATTTTTCAAACTGTTGCCAGCAAATATCGCCATGTTTTTAGAGAATTAAGTAGAAGAATCCATGAGAAGTTAAATAATGACGAATCTGCATGAATGCATGAGTATTTCTCACATTGTAAAGAAACAACTATACCTAGTGCCTTCAAATTTTGAATAACATAGTCCTCCACCGAACATCGGCACTTTGAAGCCTAAATTTTGAATTTCGAATTTGTGTTATTATCTCTTTAAAATTTTCTAAAATTTTAATGACCTTTTTTTATTAACAATCTCAATGATTTAAAATTGAGCAATGGCAACACTGTGCTGTAAAAAATATTTTTATCTCCAGCACATGAGACTGTATCGGAAATGCTAAAGATATGCTGTTTTTAAATATTTCGTGATGTTGAATTGTATTTTATGTGTTTAAGTGCAAAGAACATAATATTTAATCAATAAAGGGTAACACACAGAAATTTTAAAAAAAAAAACCTCTTTTCAGCATAATAAAAAATCTGATAGCTTAAGTAGTTTTTAAAAAATTTTATTCTAAAATATTAATTTTTATTAAGAAATAAAGTAATATTTCATTGAAACTGTTAAGTGTATGAGCACTTTTGTGAGCCACTGTATGTACATTAATATTTTTCATACGTCAGAGTATTAAAATAGGACTTCAAAAATACTTTTAAATGGAAGTGGACCTTCTAGAAGTTGAAATTAACTGTATGAAGATGAAGTTAAAAATTTTGTTCAAAATCTTTTGCATAGGGCATGACTGATGGTGAAGTGACAGACAGAGAATTCCATTCTGATTCCTACTTAGCCATTTTAAAAATTTGAGGGGAAAATTAATAGTTTTTAAATATTTCTAAAATTGCTTAAGTATTTCAAAAAATTAGAAAATGCTGCATATGCTTTTTCATTCAAATCTTTTGTGTGCATTTAAGTATTTTAGTGATTATGTTTAATGAAGATAAACTCCTGATTCAGTTTTTGTTTTAATTAGAAGAACAATATGTGGTGTTTAAAATGTTTTACCCCATATCTGAATAACATTGGTAAACAAATAACTGCATATTTATTCATAATAGTTTAAAAAAACTGTTAAATGAGTTTTTAACATCAAGGAACAAGCAAAAATCTTATAAGTTTTGAGTTACCGGTTAGTAACTGTCCTTTTATATAAATGCGTTGTTTTTAAATTGTTGTCAAGATGTCTAAAATTACCTAAACACAAGTTTGAAATAGGAGTCTTTCTGTTATATTACTGATTTTAATATATTGACAACACATAGTTTTCATTCTTTTCTAGGACACTGACTATGAAATAGCTCTTTAGTGCTTTTACATGTCATTTTTGTGCTAAGTTCATATTTGTAGGATATAAGTGTAATTAAGGAAAGGTGGTTGCTGGGGGAAAAAACTTAAAAGTAAAAGCTGTTTTAGATAAACTGAAATAAACAGAAAATATGAACAAAATATTTGGTTGATTTCAGTATTATTATTTTTCAAACTAAAAAGTCAAGCAAAAAATAAAAATATTTTTTGCATCTTGATTTTTTTCCCATTTTTGTGTTATATATTTTTTTAATATGTAACAATCTAACATGATCTAAGAACATGTTTAGATCATGCAAAAATAACACACTTTTTGCCATATTTTTTCACAAAAAAACAGATTCATAGCTTTTTCAGGTGTGTGCTTTTATTTTGTGGTTAGGATAGTGTATAAATAATGAAGCTCTTCCAGCCTTTATTTTTCTATATGTTTAGAGTTTTGTCTAATATCTTTAAATCAGTTTCTGAGACTGGAATCCTGGAACTTATGTGACAGTCAATGTGCTTATGTTTTTACAACTGCAGTAACACTTTCAGTTCCTTTATGTAATTTCAACATTCATCAGTGTTTATATTTGTATGGATATTTTGATTGTTTTCACTTTTTTCACATAGTTCATTTTGCTTTCTAGTCAGTTTATTATTTTTCAGTTTCGATAGTTTCAGTTATCGGTTTACGATATTTGTGAATATTTTTTTTAAATTTTGAAATAAAGAATAGTGAAATTAAATGTTTAGTTTTAACTTTTTTATTTCTTTTTCTGTGACCTTTGTATTATTTCATTATATTTGTGCATATTGAAAGGTGAATGCTTGTTGTATTATCCACTTATGATCTAGCATTTTATTCACTTTTTGTAATTATTTATTCATTAATATATATAATACTATAAAATTGTAATTATGAATTAAACAATATTTTGTTACAAACCCGCTCGATATATTGTTTACTTTGATGTGACAGAAATTATTAAAATGCCTGCAAGTATGTATTTGATTTGTATGTTACTGCTTTGAGATTTTGCTGTTTAATATTTGTTCATTTGAATAAAGATCTTTTATCATATGGTTGCATGATTGATGTGCCATATTACAGATACAGGATTATAATGAGTCCTATTTTGTTAACTGGACTGTTTGAGTACAGTGTTATTTATATATCAAATACTATCAGTATTATGTTACATTTTTTGTTTTATACTTTATATTTTATCTTTATTTTCCTAACTATAGCAGTAGCTCTTTATGTTTTGAATAATAGATAGTGTGAAAAGTGGCCATACATTATTTTATTGAAACTTCATTTTCCATTAGTCGTTTTTGTCCACATCTTTCTCTGTTGCGTTTGTGCATTCAAAATTTTTTCGTGTTAGCCACATCCAGTGCCTCCTCATATCTGGTGGAGTATGCCCATGACTACTGAGTAATTTTTTAAAATTGCATGGTTGGAGATCTCTTGGTGTGTTAAATATGGCAGGGAGATTTATTCTTGTAATATTTACTGATTCAGCAACAATACCTGTTATAAATACATCTTCTAAATGAAATAATTTCATTTTTATACTAGCATCGTAAAGTAAGTTAACAGAATCTCCAGTAAGAATGTATGAAGGACCAAATACAAAATCTGGATACACATTAAAAGGATAGTCAGCATAAGATGCATACCACTTATTCTTTGAACCTCTCACAGGAGGCCATTCATGTGCTAATTCACCCAAAATTGCTTTTGATATCGCTTTATCTTCTGCTAAATTCAGAAAATTTTCAACATTTATAAACATGTCATCATCTACTTTAAGAACATATTTCACTAAAGGACAAACTTTTGCGACCCATTTAAGTACAGAAATAGTTTTAAGTGTTAAATTGGAGTATGAATCTAAAAATGCTGCTTGAATAATATCTTGAAATTTTGCATTTTCATCATTTATTCTACTTTGATATTTGGGATTTTTAGGAATTCCAAGGAAAAAAAGTACTTTTGCTCCTTTATTCTTTGCATAATGGCCCCAGGTATCTCGTATTGCTGCTCTAGATTCTAAATGGGAAGCAGAAGATGTGATAGCAATTAACAGAAGCAGATTTTTCCCCTGATCTGCACAAACGTGTTTATGATTTTGCATGAAAGCAATTTGAATTGGCACATTGGATGCTCTTGAAGCTAGCCACGATTGAAAAACTTTATGAAAAATATTAGTGCTATTGAAGAAAAAAGTTTTATTTTGTTTAGGCTCTCGGAGAAATTTTTCAAATGCATCTTGTTCTGAGAATGAATTTGTTGACAGTGTTGTAGTTCTTTTCTTATTTCCGGAAAAGTGTATCTGTTTTCTGAGAACAGATATACAGTCCGTTATAATATGAAAAAATATTTTGTTCTTTGGGCGACTATGATTTTTATAGGAAATAGGTTCTGGATATTCAGTAATGTATAATTCACTGCATAGAACAAATATAAATATTAAGCAAATCAGTGCAACAAATAGTGACTGAAATTTCCCTTGAAATGTTTTCTTTAAGAAAGGTGCTCCTCGTGATCTGAAATAAAAATTTTAATTAATATTTTCTCATAAGTAACATGCAGCAAATTCTCTTGATGCATTTTTTAAAATTGAAGTAAATTAAAAGGTATGAAAATCTGTGAATACTTTGAATGATTTAAATTAAAGATATACAAGTTCTTTTTAGATGGGAATTTCATTTTACAAATATTTTGAAAAGGGATTTTCATGCAGTCGCAAGGTCTATTTCCTCAGAATGATAAACTATTGCATTTCTTTAAGCTTTCCCATAATGTTAGGCATTAGTGCTTTTGTGCAAGCAAATACGTTCTTGACTGATAACTGCAATGAATATTGAAATTACATATTATAAGATCAGTGATAGAGCAACGAGTAAGCTAACCTGCGAACTGTATCAGCTGCTTTTTAAGTATCAGCGTTATTTGTGTATTATAATAATCATACTACAAGACATCCGAAAATATTCCTACTGTTTTTGATGTCCTATTTGATAAGCGTTCACAGAGAGGAAACGAAATTACTCAAGCGCCGGAAAAGGGGTAGAGGTTTAGTGTAACCACGGACTTGCACTAATACAGTCACCTTTCGCACATACAGCAATCGTAGCTCATCCAGTGTCGAAAAGAAATGCAGGTATCAAAGCAGCCTCTTTATTGTGGTTTCCTGTATGAATTAAGTTCTCGAATATGTCCGACATTTAGTAAGAGAATGCTATGAACGAGGCATTGGTTCCAGACGTTCGAGCGGAAGGTACGAGCTTTTGTGATGCAACCCTTAGTGAGTGAACAGATGTTGGATAACGAGGCCTTGAAGGCAGCCGTAGAGGAAGACAGAAATGAAACGTATGGTGAAGGTGCCGGATCGCTTCCAGGTTTCTGAGAAAACAGACGTCGGCTTCACTGCATTGGGAAGTTGTAATTAAATACGTGTTCCGCTTTGTTAAATCAAGAACTGCATAGACTGGGCCCAAATGAAAACCTTTGGATTTGGCGGTAGGTTGGTCGTCAAGTCAAAAGTCTTCGTGAGGTAGAAACCCACCAGGGGCCGAGCGGTAAAGACGCTGAACACTGGTAGTTCGGTCGAGGTTCAAATCCCTCGAACGGGCTGGCTGCATGGGCGTTTTCGTGGTTTTCCCCATTGCGGTTTCCGTGCATTAGTCATGGGAGAGCGTTGAGATCCTGCATGCTGTTCAATATGACCATCAGCAACCCATTGATTCCACATTCGCATGCCAGTGGTTGGATGTCGACCAGTGCTATCACAGAACGATATCCACACTCTCGATAGGCAGCGATCAAGCCTCTGTCAAATTACGACACTTGTTGGTAAGCATTTCTTATTATTCGAGGCATAACACAATATTCTCAGCAAACTCTGATCTTAGAAAGCGTTTTCCGAATGAGAAATCTACTACAGAACTTTTCTTTTATGCAGTACTTTAGTCGTCGTGTAAATGCGCTTGAAATACTAATCATTTGCATATCCTAATCTCTTCTTCCTTTCAAAGGCCCACCAGCGGCCGAGCGGTAAAGTCGCTGAACACTGGTAGTTCGGTCCGAGGTTCGAATCCCGCGAACGGGCTGGCTGCATGGGCGTTTTCGTGGTTTTCTCCATGTGTAACGTGTATACGAGCCAGTTTCCCTTAGAAAGTCCTCCACGAAGGCATTCCTCCCCTTAGGCAGATAGCCCTCAAGGCTTTGCCATAATCACACACACACATTCCTTCTTCCTTTCATGTGATTTTGACGTTCGTCAGATCATTCCTTCCTGGTGTTGCAATTTTAATGGCCGGCATCGTATATAAATTATTATTAGAAAAGTTATTTATACATCATTTCCAAGGAAAAGAAACTTAATTAATGCTGTGAATTATTGGAAAATAATTTAGTAAGTATTTTTAAGTAGCTTTCCAAGTCAGTAACCAAAGTTATCTAGATCTATTGTAGTAGAAATTATTTTAAAATCTGTTGGAGTAGAAATTATTTAAAAACTGTATAGAAAGATCTTTTGACCATAAAAATTCCAAATATTAAATTCAAAGTACTGAAAAAGTAGCTATTGTGATTGTTCGCAGATTAATTGACTTTCCTAGAGGAGCAAACCAATCTACTGTCAATTAACAGAAACCAAATTTATTGAGAGAGTTTCGTCTTTTTTTAAATAAGGATCAAATTAACTACTATTTTGTTGACTTGAGAAGAAGACATTAAAAGAAAATGCATAAATGAATATATTATTTCAGACTAAAACTTTCTTTTATAATCAAACTCAAAATCAAAAGTAGAAATAAAATTTACAGATTCTTTAGCCTTAAAAAGTTATTTTCAAAAGTAAAATGTGTCAATTATTTAGATTAAAACATTCTTTTATAACAAAACTCCAAATCGAATGTAAGCATAAAATTTATTTTTTCTGATAGATTAAAATATTAATTTCAATATCAAAAGTAAAATAAAAATTTAGATATTCTTTTGTATTAATATGTTAACTTAAAGCAGCTATTTACATGCTAATTAAGAACAATGCCATGAAGGAAATTAAAATTAAATTACTTGTCTACAAAATTTAAAACGAAATGGCTGGAAATGTAAATGTATTCAGTGTTGGAATGTAATAGGGTTGCCGTAATATGTAGTTAGCGAATTGTTGTTCTCTATTTGAGATATGGTATCTTTGAATTGGCGAGAAAATCTTACTGTTAGTTAAAGTTATAGGCAGAGACTAGTATTTTTGTTAAAATTTTATTCAATTAAATAGAAGGAATTAATGAATTTTTTTACTGGCAAACGTCTAAAAAATATAAAGAAGGAGGTATCTTTACAGGTAAAGGGCTGTTTACCAGACTGAGAGAAACATGAAAAAGTCCCAAGGCCCATTAATTAGTAACATAATATAATGCCAGAAAAATTTGTAATTTACATTATTTACAAAATTTATTAATCTTTAACTAACAGATATCCAACTTATTCCGCCTTTTGAAGGTTTAGGAATAAATTATCATAACTCTATTCGTTAACAGATTTAAATAGAATATTTAATGCCTGCTTTCTTTAGACAGTAATTAATAAATTTATCTGGTACTTAATTATTTTTAAGTACTTGAATTAGTGTTAATATTTCGTTTTGAATATCAAGTGTATCAGTGCAAATATTTTTGAATTGTTGATTTTGACTCATGACTGTGTTATAAATTACTTTTTTAGAAATGTTCGAAGTCCAATTAATTAATTTATTAGTTGTAAAGTTCCTGGTTTTGTCATAGAGTTTTATGTGTGTGTAGTTAACTATTTGAAGATCTAGAAATTCATTCAACTTCTTGTGATGAATTAGTTTTATTAAGAATGAAGCTTTCGGAATATATTTGGGAATTTTCTATTTTGTTAAATTTAGTAAAAGTGATGAGATCATCAATGTATCTGAAAATATGTGCATACTGAATTAAATCTTCTCGTTTATGCGTTTGTTGAAATTTAAATTCTTGACTAAACAAAAAAAAATATTAGACATGTTCGTAAACGTATGAGCTCCCATTGGTATACATTTTACTGGTTTAAATAGTTGATTGTCAGATTTAATGTAATTATTAAATATAGTATAGTGAAGGACGTTTTTCCCTTTTTTAAAATCTAGAACAGTGAGTATTGTAGGAAATAATTTTGGAAGTTGAAGTAGACACACAGATGGAGGACAAAATAATGCGAACACCTGTGAAAATGTATGACGTATTTTACATCTGCAGTACAGCCGCGCCATCTGCAACAGAAGTCTACCACCGAATGAGCATAAAGAGGGAGGTATCAGTCTCTCAACAGCAGTCTCCTGCGTTGCATGCTTCGATCGAACTGCTTGTGAGAAGTTGAAATGTCAGATCTATCATCCAAAGAGGAATGATAGTTGGAGTACGTTTAAGTGGAGCATCGGTTACGGAAATTGCAAAACACAAAAATAGCAAAACACAAAAAAGGGTAAGAAGACGTCTTCAAAGCACAACAGTGGCCGAGAGTCAAAGCTGGCTGATAGGGATAGACGGGTCTTGAAGCGCATAGTAGCCCGAAAGCACAAGCACTCGTTATCCGAGATAGCATCTAAAATGAACAGTCATCTCCTGGACCCCATTTAAAAAAAAAAAAAAAAAAAAAAACTGTCAAAAGGAAACTTCATGCTGCGAACATTTATGGCAGAGTGGCAATTCGTAAACCCTTGGTGAAAGAAACTAATGCTTTCAAGCGACGCCAGTGGTGCAGAGATCACAAAGGCTGATCCCCACAGTAGTGCGAACAGGTAATATGGTCAAATGAATCGTCATTCACCCTATTTCAGACGACCGGACGTGTTTACCTCTGGAGAACGCCAAAGAAGCGTTTCATCCTGACTGACTCTTACCGACTGTGAAGTAAGGGTGGGGCGCTATTATGGTATGGGGTGTGATATCTTGGCGCGGTCTTGGGCCACTTGTTCTGCATAGGAGGATCATATCCAGTCACTATCTAAGCATTCTAGGGGATATATCCATCCTTTTGTCCAGACCGTATTCCCTGGGGAGCGAATGCTTTTTCAAGACGACAACGCCCCTATACACACTGGTGTATTCAATAATGGTTTGAAGAGCATGACGATGCAACTGAACATCTCGCTTGGCCCCCTCAGTCTCCGGACTTGAATGTTATTCAACATTTATGGGCATATTTGGAGTCCAAACTTCGTTCCCGATTTCCACCTCTATCCGGACTTTCGGAATTAGAGACCGCTCTGCAGGAGGAATGGCTTAATAATCCTTTAAATATTGTCCATGACCTTTATGCATATATCCCACGCCGTATTCAATCTGTACTGTAGTCAAAGGGTGGTCCAACCCCCTATTAATAAAGATTTTCCATTATTTCACAGATATTTGTATTATTTTGTCCTCCATCTGTATATTCTAATGGAAAAGAAGTATATTAGTTTTCAAGTCACAAAAGCAGTTACTATTTTGCATGTTGATAGTCTTTAAAGTAGTAGAATGTTATTACAGAA